CTAATTTCAAGGAAGAAAACAAAAGTAAGGCTTACAAGGGTAATGAAAAAAGGTGCTTGTAATGTGGTCATGTGATTGCCCAGTCCAACAGCTGTAGTTTTCTGTGTGATTATTCTGTGGCGTGGCTGCATCAACTGCATATGTAAGTTGAAAGATAAACTGGAGCTCTGAGGTGGTGACTCATATTGGATACCACACTTGATGAAGCTGCAAAATGAGGACTAATTGTATGTAAAGATGCAGCTCTGACAAGGACATTGGTTTTCCACTTCCATCAAGGAAAGAAAATATTAGCCTCTGGGATTATATAATAAATTTGCAATGTACTCAGTGTGTTGGTGGGAGCTGGGGTGGACCCATCTGTCCATGGGAGATGCAGGCTGATCTTGAGATCACTTAATACCATAACAGGGTCTGGTAATTCTGTAACTGTAGCTCTGCCTTAGGCGGCGTAGAAAGTTGAACAGCGGAAGCTGGTTTTAGATTCTTAATAAAAAATACCCATCAATCTCTTTATAATGCTTATGCATTCTGTTGCTTGCTTACTTTCAGAAAATTGACCAGCTAACATTATGAACATTGTGCACTGGCATGCTGGGCTCCTCGCCCCTTCCTTTGTGTGGATCACCATAGGCTTTTCAGAAAGAGGAGGGAATTGAATAGTTGAGTTCCAGTTTTGTCCACCTTGTTTTGCTTAACCCTGACTGACCTTGGCCTAAGGGCACCATGACCTCTGTCAGTCAGGTTGATGAGCTTAAATCAAGATGCAGGATTTTGTGTTGTGATAAATAAGCTGGAATGGGCCTGTCATTTTACATCTGAGCTGTGTCTTCTCTTTTCTTGCATCTCTGACTGGGAATTTTCTAGTGCAATATTTACATTGTAGGAGTTTGTTTTCCTTTGATTAGCTTTCTGTAACACTTGGTTATTTTAAAATAGGCAGAGCTGGAAAATGCTGTCACCATTAAAAATGCAGCCAGAATAATTTATTCCATAAACAAGGCAATGGTTTTGTTTACTAAACCAGGTTAAGAAAGTCTTCACTAAAAAGACTGTCTTTCTTGACTACGTAATTTTTCTTCTTAAAGAACTGGATGAAGCCAGGCACTGGGGGTTGGGATGGTGAGAAGACACTTGTGTAACTATGGCCGTTTTATGTTCCCAAGAGCTGAGTTAGGTACACCCTACATTCTCATGTGAGTGCCATGCTGATTGTCCTACATGTGATACTGAAAGCTGCTACAGATTCCTTAGGATCCTGTTTGAAGAATGTTGACCTACATTTTCTTGTTTAAATTAGTGTTTTGCAGGCTGTATGAATATCTTTGTAAACACTTTCCAAGCATTTTTTTTTTCTCTGACTAGTACTGTTATTCATAATGTTTTGGTTTTTAAATACCCTTTGCTTTGTCTTTGCTCTGTTTCGTACCCTGGTCTGACCCTTCAGCAAGGTCTCTTCCATTAAAGTCAGCAAAATCAGCAATTTAATCAGTTGCTAATTTAGCAACTTTATTTGAAGAGCTGGTTCATTATGTTCTGTTGTTTAATTGATGTTTGCATTGATCGAATTAGGGAATAAAAATAAACAGTTAATTTCCATTTCAGTGGGATATTTCAGCAAACTTCTGCAAACCAGGAGGGGGTAAAATACTGACAATGGAAAAAACCCAAACAAAACAACCCAAGGAGAGACGCATCTTTTTCAAATATAGAATCATTTAGATTGGAAAAAAACTTTAAGATCATAGAGTCCAACTGTAAACCCAGCACTGCCAAGTACAGCACTAACCTTTTCCCCAAGTGCCACATCTATACATCTTTTAAACACTTCTAGGGTGGTGACTCAAACACTCATTGGGCAGCCTGGCCCAATGCTTGACAACCTTTTTGGTGAAAATAAATTTCCTAATACTCAGTCTAAACCTTCCCTGGTGCAGCTTGAAGCTGTTTTCTCTTGTTACTTGGGAGAAGAGACTTAACACCCACCTTGCTACAAACCTCCTTTCAGGGAGTTGTAGAGTGATAGGGTCTCCTCTGAGCCTCCTTTTCTCCAGGCTGAACAACCCCAGTTCCCTCAGCTGCTCCTCATAAGACTTGGGGTCTAGAGCCTTCGCCAGCTTCGTTGCTCTTCTTTGGACCCACTGCAGCGCCTCAATGTATCTCTTGCAGTGAGAGGCCTAGAACTGAAGGCAGGCTTTGAGGTACAGCCTCACCAGTGCTGAGTACAGGAGCATCATCACTGCACTTACCCTGCTGGCAACGCTGTTTCTGATACAGGCTGGAATGCTATTGGCCGCCTTGGCCACCTGGATATGCTGCTACCTGATACTCAGACAGCTGTTGACCAACGCCCCCAGGGCCCCCTTTTCTGGCAAGCAGCTTTCCATCTCCTGTTCCTCAGGTGTGTAGTATTGGATGGGGTTGTTGTGACCCAAATGCCGGACCTCAGAATATTGATGCAGCCTGCCCAGATCCCCTGTAGAGCCTTTCAATCCTTAAACAGATCAACACACCCATGCAGCCTCATGTCATCTGCAGACTTACTGAGAGTGTACTTGATCTCCTCATCCAGATCCTTGATGATGATACTGAACAGAACTGGTCTCAATACAGAGCCCTGGGGAATGCCACTTGTGGCCAACTGACAACTGGATTTAACTCCATTCACCATCACTCTTTGGACTTGGTCATCCAGCCAGTTTGTTACCCAGCAAAGAGCACACTTGCCCATACAGCCAGCAGCCAGTTTCTTCAGGAGAATGCTGTGGGAAATGGTGTCAAAGGCTTTACTAAAGTTTAGGTAGACAACATCTACAGCCTTTCCCTCATCCTCTAAGTGGGTCACCTTTGTCACAGGAGATCAGGTTAGTCAAGCAGGATCGGCCTTTCATAAGGACATGCTGAATGGGCCTGACCACCTGTTTGTCCTGTACATGTGTGCATGATGGTACTCAAAATGATGAGCTAATTGCTGTTAATGACATTTGACTAAACCCAGTAGGTAAGGGTTTTTTGGTAGTATCCTTGCAGTTTTAGGGAAAGACTTATAAAATTATTGCAAAAAAACTCAGAGTTTGCTCTAGAATTTGAGAGTGACTGTCAAAAAATTCTGTAGTAACTCTTCCAGAAGAGTTAAGGGAATTGGAGCTGTAAGGGAGGCAATGTTACTTCCCAGGGCAGGATGAAAGGTTGAAATCGCAACAGCTGCAGCCTGTAGTTCATCTAGAACAGAGCAGGACAGGCTGGAGGGTATACTTAAGGTTGATAGATGATAGCTTGTTAATTGTGTGGCTTTGTTACAGTTAGATATTGATATAAAACTCTATCTCTGACCCTACAGTTAAGCTTGTGTGAAGGATGGGGCAAGGGGTGTATATGTAAATAAGGAAGTAGTGTCTTGTTGCACTCAAGTAATTGTAACAGATAGTTCACAGCTTCACCTCAAAGAAATGTTCATGTGAGTGGCAGTAGTGTATGTCTTAGTCAGTAGTTTGTGTCTCTATTTCTGATAACAAAATGCAGTGCGCTCTAGTAGTTTATTGGTCTTTAATGCAAGGTATGATGTTAAGATGTTACTAGCATAAAGCATATTGCTGTAAATCATCTGGACTATAACTGTTTTGAGTTTTACTGCCTTAGGGCTGTTTAACACAGGTTTAAAATAAGAGCAGCTCTAAATAGTCAAAAAATCAACACAGAATTTTAAAAAAGAAAATTTAAAAAAAATAGAAGGAGGAAAAAAACCAAACCATAAATGCAAAGGTTCTGCTCAGCAGAAAAATGCAGCAGTATGTCTGGATATGGCTTCTGTTTGCTGGACAGCTGTTTCATACCTTCACTATAAAAATATAGATATGCAAGCAGGTATTCATGCATTGCTTATATTGAACCTTCTTACCATGGTAGGGGAAGAAGTGAAAATAATAAAAGGGTATAGTTCTTGAGTAAATTTCCACAGTAGCTTGTGGCCAGAATGGCTATTTTGGACTTCTACTAGATTAAGCGGTAACAGTTTATTCATAACTACTTGAGAGGGCAGCTCAGTGTGTTCGATGTGAGCAGTGCAGAAGTTTCTTTTCCCTCAGTGTTTCTTGCCAGATACCTGAGCTTCTGGTATGTCTATAGTTTTCTTTTAGTAGACTGTGCAATGAAGTGTTTTAAAAAATGAACACTATTTCCCCATGATTAGTAAGTTCCATAGATTGGATCCTAACTTGTCTTCCTTGCTTTGTGATGTGTGAAAATAGCATTTTTCTGTCACTTGAGCAGTGAAGTCCTGGAGACATTCAAGGCCAGGCTGGATGTAGTTCTGAGTGACCTGAGCAAATTGAAGATGTACCTGCTCATTGCAGGGGGGTTGGACTATATGACCTTTGAACGTCCCTTCCAACCAAACTGTTCTATGATTCTATGAAGTCTGTCCTTAAGGGCATAAGCAGATGGCTTCAGTACAGCTTTAGATGACCAAAACCAGACTTTAAGAATATTCAGTGGTCCTAAAAAAGCTGGTAGCAATTTTAGGTAGATCATACCCTGTTCTGTTTCATTGGCATCAGCCTATTTACCTCCTGCAAAGTGCTAATGCTTATTTAATTGCATAATTATGGAAACTGGTAGTGTGTGGCGCAAGAAAGAGGAGAAGCACAGGCATGTACCTGTAAAGGCCAACTTCTGAACCAAGAGGCTGGTTTCTTTGGGCTGCAAATGGGCAGAAAGGAGCTCTTACTCTGATAGGCTTCTGGAAGAGCCCATCTTCTTCCTGTGCCTTCAGAGAGAACCTAGAGTGAGACCCTCTCAATGCTTCTGTGCAGAGTATGCACATGTCTTAGGTGCAAAACAACGTTCAGTTCCTGTCACTGTGACTTTGTGTGTCAAATTTGTGGTGGTGATGAATGCTTGTAATAGCGATGATTTCCTTTCACAGGTTTCAAGATGCTTTATAAAAGCTCATGTTAATAGCACGGCTTGGATTTAAATGTCTTGTTTTTCTTACATTTCAGATCTATCAGTCATGAAACGAATTCTTCTGTTTTTCATCCTGGCTGCTGCTGTTATGTATGGCATACTGCATGGAAATCTGTGGAGAAATAACCTCTACTGGTATGGTGATGCTTTGTTCAATTACATTGCAAACACCCTCATGGCTGTAAGAGATGTGGCTGGGAGTTGCTATGTTGCTGGAGAGCTGTTTAATAGTGATCAGCGGAAGTGAATACTACTCTCTGTTCTGTTTTGTGGTTGTTTTGTTTTGTACTGTGATTTATTCTGTCCTGTCAACCTTCCGTCGTGTCACTTTTAAACCCAGCGGTTGATTTGAGCCTGATTGTGTGGGGAGGTCAGGACCTCAGAGATAGGGATAGCCACTCTGAGTTTCAAGAAAATAGGTGTTTAGGTGAGAAGAGATATCCTATTTGTGTGTTGTGTCCATAACTCGTCCCACCCCACATGTGCTTAGTGTTAGCTTGTTTCTTTAGGTGTCTGATAAATGTCATGGGAGAGGCTTGCCCCAGTGACATCCTTGTGGGAAGTGAACCTTCATTGTCTCCAGACTCCTTGGAACAGGTGTCTTGGCACCTAAAATTCAGCATAGTTATTGAAGAAGTTGAGTTTCCATTGCCTTTTGCATAGCTGTGACCAGGACTGAGCAGTGTGTTTGTGTTATGAAGATAATAGTGATAGCTTTTAAAAGTAGTGATTTATGTGATTCTATTTGTCTTGCTTATAGCATACAATTGATAGAGTGGCTTTCTGTTGTGGTTTCTGTTTATAGCAAACCACAGTGTTGTGACATTTCCCTTTTTGCAGGATTAGCTTTTATGGACAGACTTCCTCTGTGAGGGCTTCTCCTTCCTATGAGACTAGTGGAGTTACCCAGTAAGTTCAGCAGTTGAGTATTTTTGTGGTGGGATTTTTTGTTTTTTTTTGGTTGCTTGGTTGTTTTTTGGGCAGGTGGGAGGCATTGAGACTAAAATCAGTAGCCTTTGTCTGTAGGCTCACCATTCAACTGGTTATTGTACTGGTTATTGTCTGTTGGCTGTTTCTGTTACGAACACAATTGTAACATGTCTGACAAAGGGAGCTTGTCTATGTCATGTTTCCAGTGTTCGGTTAATATTTATGGCCATTTACAGTGACTGTCTATAACAAGCAGTGAATTGATGGAAGGACATTTGTTTACAACTTTCAAATTTCTGTAATTCTGAGTTACCTGAATAAAATGAGCAGAGCTACAAGGGCAGCTATTGTACTTAAAATTTAATAAATCAGAGGTGTGGTTAACTTGTGATGTGCAAGTGGATGTATAAGCATATCTTGTGCTAGTAAATTCCTGCAATTAGGTTTCTGGGACTAATAAGTGTCTATGCTAAAATTTAAAAGCAGGCCTCTTCTCTCTGAAGCCATCCTGCAAAATGCCATCTGTGAGGCTTATGCTGGAAAGCAACGAGCTGGCCAGCTGATACCTTTCACAGGGTGCTTTTTTTTAGTGTATGTATTCACATGACAACTTGGGGTTACTAAAAGCAATTAACCTTAATGGTCTGTTTGGCTTGTGGTTCTAGTGTGGTGGTTTCATCCTTCTGTTTTTAATGAAGCCCAGATGCACGCATTGCTCACACTGAACTTTGTCCTGCCTTCTGGGCTTTGTATTTGTTATTAATTGGGCTAAATCACCAAGGTGGGAATGTTCTTAAATGTCTTTGCCTTATGAGAGGAATGACTTAAGCCCAAACAACCTCACATTCCTTAAAGTACCCTATGTGGTACTCTCTCTATTCCCCACTCTAAATGAGACTCTTCTCTGAGGAGCGCTGGTGATGCTATCTGGTTTGGCTGCAGCATTGATTCATCCCAGGTGTCCTGCTTCTCTACAGGTAGGTCTGAAATCTCACCTGGTTATGGATTCTTTGATAGTTACTGAGAAGAGGGAGGTTACAGACCCTTTGGAACAGTGCTATGAGATAAAAGCCTTTGCTAGTAATTGTATGCTGCAGTGATAAAAATCCATCTTTATGATGCAAAGGTAATCATGAAAATTTAGCATGGTGTTAACTTTTACTAGTTAAATTAGCTTTTACTAATTTGGCTTGTCCAAGTTTCCCTACCTTGTTGCTGCTACTGATTCCTATTACTGCTATTTCTTTGAAATTCTTCTTTTGCAGGCTGCCGCCTACGGCTGTGGAGAGAAGGAATGTGCTGGACACTTGCCTCCTGAAACCAGCATTTGAATCTTTACTGGGGTGAGTATTCTGTGGGAAGTAGAGGGAAAAGGAAAGTCTGTGCTGATTGAGGTAGAAATGAGCTATTTACATATTCTGACCTATTTCACATTTCGATTTACCTCTAAAAGTACAGCTTTTTCATTGTTATTCTTCCTGGTTGTCGCAACATAAATTGTTTAGCTTGCCACTGATCAGCATCTGAGCAATACCACACAACTAGCTCAAAATGCTGGTGTCTGTACTGAATAAATACATACTTCCTGTTCACATATTCTAGCTAGTAACAGTGAAGCTATTTTAATGATTGAAGTACAAGCCTTAGGTTCCCTCTGCTCCATGTTTTTGATGTAAAAAAGTCTTCATATCAAAGACCGAAACTCAGTCACTCTGTTATTAAAAACCTGCACTTTAAAGAGTTTTTGATAGTTAAGTATTTCTGTAGCAGCCAGGAATCAAGAGAGATTTTGAAAATTTCTTCTATTTATTTCGAAAGTGGAGAATGAAATGTGCAAAAATTCATCTAATCTTTAATGATAGAAGATTCTTCCCCTTCAGTGGAGCTTTAATGAAATTTGAGTTTATTCATGCTTTTGTTCCTTTAATAGTATTGTTGAATTGTGCGTAGATGTTCTCCATTTTAGTATACTCATAGAAAGCTTCCTTTGTAAAGAAGCGATCATATGAAAAAAGAAAGAGCTTCAACCCAAAACGAAGGAGGTGTTTGGTCACAAAAGTGCATCCAAGAGTTTTGTGAGGCAATAATAGGAGGTTTTGTTATTAGAAGCACAAGTCTTAAATGAGAGGTCAAGAAAGTACCACGGGACCAGAAGCAGACAAGCTGTATTGTTGGCTTTGTGTTTTGCCTTAGCAGACATTGAATATGGTCCTGGGAAGGCTTGGGAAGATCTTTAGAACCAAGTCCTGGCTGAGGGAGTCTTAAAGCTCTAAGTAAAGGCACCATTGCTTTTTTTGCTGTACAAGAAAACATGGCTTTGTTTCAGTGCTATTATTATTTTAAAGAACATGGAACAATCTTAAGTTTGTTCTACTCAAAACAGTCCTGTGGTCTTTGAGTTTTAGTTAGCTGCGTGGCCCAGTAAAGTAGTCCTAGTTCCCTCCTTACTTCCCCCAGTGTGCCCAGGCTGTCTCTATGTCAGGCTCAGCAGGATAGCTCTGGTGCTGAGCAAGGGGGGCAGGGATGGACTCGGATGCACAGCAAAAAAAAAGGTGCAGAGCTAGAACAGAATCTCTTGCATATTTCCACAGCTCCTTTACAGAGATAGTTTGTGTGAGCTGAAGAGCTGGTCTGTGCACTTTGGTAATAGCCTGGGGAGGTTGCAAGGATTTTTAACCTGGCAGAATTATTTATTGGAAAGGAACCAGAGCTAGAATTAAGAATCTCTTTGCAGTAGATGCATTATTTATTTATTATGTCTAAGCTTAGCAGCTGCTTCTGAACAGCAAGGCAAGTTACTACGTTTAATACAGGTGGTGTTCAGTGCATGTTGTCTTAAAGTTAGCTGGTCTTGCTTAGTTAACCTATGGCCCAGTTCTTGGTGTGTGGGCTGTGGTATTCTGTTGGGTTTTTGGTTTGGTTTTTTTCCTTTTTACTGTTGGTATCTTCTGAATACATAGAGCTTAGAGTGAGGTACTTGCTTTGTAAAGCTGAAATGGAGGGGTTTATTTTAACAGCTATTAATGTTCTTCACAGAGAAACAAGTCATGTGCTGGCTATGGGTATTTATGATCAACAGTAGGCTCTCTTGTTGTGACTGTGTACTTCTGTGTTAACACTTTAATATAAGGCCTGGTATTCAGGATCACTCCAGTAAGCCATTTCAGTGAGTGTGTGACTATTTAACTCCAAGGTAAAGCCAATGGCATGATGGCATGTGACAGGATTGGGTCTACTGTGCATTTATTTGACTTGACTTGGCAGGTATGGTAACATGAGCGCCTCCCTGAGAGAACCCTTGTCTGTGGTTGCCGTCTTTTGAAGACATGACCCATTCTTTCTGTCTTGATGCTTATAGAGTATGATGCCATCCTACTCTAGTTTGTAGGAGGAATGTGCTTTTGAGGCAGTCCTCCTTGTGATCCCCATGTGCCACTCTTCTCATCACAGGGTGACCCTGGCATATGTGGTCTGGGCTCCTTTTGGACATCTGGCTAAGCCAGAAAATGCACTGAAGGAGCACACCTGCCGTGCTGCAGCTGCTGGTGTTCAGTCTGCAGCATCCTAATGGAGTTAGCCTAGCACAAAAAACAAACTGAGATGTGTAGAATGTGGATGTGAGAACTCCATACTTTTTCCTGTATGGGTATACCTCTGTTGCTGCAGAGTACTTACTAATGTGAATACAGCCACATGTTTGGAATGGGAATGTATCTCAAATAAGCTGAAGTCTTCAGGAGATGGTATTTTCAAATTAAAACACCTTGTTTCAAATCGAATTCTGTAAATTGCAGTATATAATAAGAACTTAATATTCCTTGCCTCTGTTACATACTTTTCAAACCTGAAGTTACTCATTGTCTTTCTGGGTTACATGTTCTCTTAAACATGTTCTTATGTTTTAAGCTTTCAGTCATGTGATTTTAATGACTTTATAACTTATAGTAGCAGAGAAAGTGAGAGTGTCCTTTTATTTCACACTTTACCTGTATTTTCCAATACAAAATCTTTCCCTTTTGTCACTTGCTTTCTTTCCCTGTGTTCGTGAGTTTTCTTCTCTTAAAAATTGATAATACTTGCAGTAGGATGAAGAAAGCTTTTTTTTTTTTTAAAAGAAATTGCATGAATTACTGGCTAATTGAAATACATAATCTGGATTTTTGAAACTTTTTCCCTTTCATTAGTGTTGACAAAATATACCCGTTCCTGTGTGCTAATGATTTTATCAGAGTGGCGGAGTTCCACGGGAGTGATAAGTTTGAACTACCTTATGGAATAAAGAGAGCAGGTTTGTGTTCTCCATGTACCTTGTTTTTAAATAGAAATACCTAAATGGCATGTAAAGCCACTGAATCTCAGGCTCTGGTCTTTCCTGTTCACCAACGCAAATCCTTTTGGGGGTATCTAGCAGTGACTCAGTGGGTTCATTTACTCCCTCTGATCTAGCACCCTCCTTTTTTTAACAAATAAAGCACCATGTTGGGGTTGCCCCTCTTAGCGGAGAAGCTCCAAAAAGGTGGAGGTGAGGAAGAATGGAGCTTATTCAGCTTCTTTTCATTTGTGTGTGGACTGAAGTGCTAAAGATATTTAGCTAGCACCTTATTAGGTGAAGTATTAGCTGGGTCAATATGGTGGGGTTTGATCAACACACTTAAGCTGATCAGAATGAAGAGTCCTACTGAGGCAGAAGTCTGCAGGTTGGGGCAGTTATATCATCAAATTTTCCCTTTTACTGAACTAGCTTCTACCACTAGGGGAGGTGTCACTGTGGCTGCAGGGGGTATTCTTGCCATTGCACAGCTGCTGTGCCTGTGTGTGCTTGTTCATGTCTGCTACCTGTGTTGATCAGGGCATAGTAAACAGAGGCAGAGACCCTAAGGGGCTTAGTCATCCTTTTGGAAAGGGTTGTAAGTCTCAAATCCCAGAGTTTTTAATACTGAGCTGTGTAGCTTCCTAGTACTGTGCAGATCTGGGCTTTAGACTCTATTTGCCATACATCAGTATAAAGAGGATGATGCATTTTTCTGCATCTCTGGGGCTGCAGTGAGAAAAAGTATGTTTGGGAACGAGCTGAGGCCCCTTCTCAGTTTGAGGCACATTGAGTGTCCAGCAGGTGCCTGCCCACCGCGAGACAGCTGGGAAAGTGCTTCTACCCAGCTTTGCTAGTGGGCACAGGCTGGATTGATGTCTTCTCACAAGATACCTAATGCTGTTACTGTCTCTGGCTGTGCATCCCCTCTTGAGTCAAGGCTGCTTCTGTTTCAGCTGAAGTTGGGTAGACGAAAAACCCCAGTCAACTGGAATGTAGTTGACTTCCAATGATTATTTACTGTTGCAGTTGGTTTTTTTTTTTTTTTTTTTAATACAAATCCCCTGCTGTTTTCCAACAGGGGAATGCTGGGGCAGGAAAAGCTTCCTAGAGAGGAGCTCCTACAACCCTGATTTTCTTTGGCATCATTGACTGACTCGTGGCCCTAAATGACAAGTGTTCTTATTTTGAGTTTTTTATGCACAGTGTGTAAAAACTGCTGTATCTGCTGTAGTCAGGGTGGCAAGCTTATTTTTGTCTCAAAAATCATTGAACATTTTCATTAACCTTCTTCATATTTGCTTTCTAGAGCAATTCTTTCGTTTAGCCCTTTAAAGACTGCAGAACTGCGGGCTTTTTAATGAAGATGACAGGTGAGATGGTTTATTTGATACTGTTTCTGTTAATTGCATTTTAAATATTAAATATCTGAAAAGGAAATAGTAGTGTTATCCTGAAATTGCTCTTATTCGCCAAGATGCAGATCTGATTGACACTGTCCAAGCATTATCTGATATCTGTAACTGATCCCAAGATTTAAGTAAGTTTGGTTTTATACATACATAGCACTAGCATTTAAGAATAATTCTTCTGTGAGAGAACTTGAATTTACAGATTTCTTTTCATAAGTGTATTAGGAGTTTGCTAACGAATGCAATCCCATCTTCCTGTAGTATCTTTCCATACTTCAGGAAAGTGAAACCACCCCTGAAAAGTTCAATGTGGTGTCCTTTTTCAGAATCATTATTAGTGTAAGCTAGATAATTTTTGAGATAAGCATATGCAGACCAGTGACTGTTTCTAAGCAAAAGAAATCTTATGCATATCCCTGTGCCGCTTCATTTGCTGGCCTGCTGCATGCCCTTGTTTGTATGTGTGCTCAGCTTACTTTTCCTGTGAATAAGGGAGACCTAAGCAGCCAGGAAAGGCTCTTCCGGCCTTTTGGGAGTAACCAGGGTGTGGCACAGATTGAAGCATGCCTTAGATAACTCCCTTCCTATGTATTAGATTGTACTGTTTAAATCTCTTGATTAG